AAAACGACTCAAAGAAAACTAGACAATGAACTCTCGAATGCAGTGCAGAAAGTTAACAACAATAGTTGGGATCTCACAGATAAAGATGGTTATTACCCTTTTCGGTAGGAATTGTTTACACTAGGACCAATTTTGCTTCAGAGCAACAAACTATGCATATCCAGGCCACTCTGGCACATGAAGGGCATCCTGGAGCTAGTGTAATGAAGCGCAGAATTAGATCAAAAGTTTGGTGGCCAGGGGTGGACAGAGATGTCAGAAACCATGTGAAGAATTGTAGAGATTGCCTTTTAGTAAGCCAACCGGAAAGACCTCCACACATGACACGCCACAAATTCCCAGATGGCCCTTGGCAATGCTTGGCTGTTGATCTCATGGAACCCCTACCAAACCAGGAACAGATACTGGTAACAATAGACTATGCATACCCAGGCCACTCAGAGAATGAACACTCAACTGGCACATGAAGGGCATTCTGGGGCTAGCGTAATGAAGCGCAGAATTGAAAGGTTTGGTGGTCAGGGGTGGACAGAGATGTCGAAAATCATGTGAAGAATAATTGTAGAGATTGCCTTTCAGTAAGCCAACCGGTAAGACCTCCTCCTATTACACGTCAGAAATACCCAGATGGCCCCTGGCAATGCTTGGCTGTTGATCTCATGGGACCCCTACCAAACCAGGAACAGATACTGGTAACAATAGACTACTTCAAGATATCAAGATATTAGGTTCATGAAATTGTTACCCTCAAAACACGATTGAAAGGTAAATAATAAAATTTGAGGGAGTGAGACAGTATGGGTGTCTAAAACAAAAAAAAAAATAGAAAGACAGGGTTGGTCGCTGGCTAAAATCTAGAAACGGAACTTCGTGTGAAGGGTTGCCGACTAGCTTCCAATACGGAGAGGGGTGTGGATCAATTAAATAATTAAATATAGAGCGCCACCTGCTTTTCCCTGCAGGGTCCTTATTCTTGAAACAGGGGAGCAGCGTTCCCAGGAGAACGAGTGTTCCGTCTTTCTCAATCATATGCAAATGACAATATAAGGAACAAAGACAAAACACGGGTTCTCCTGGGAACGCTGCTCCCTAGTTTCAAGAATAAGGACCCTGTAAAGTCAACCGATATAACGAAAGCAGGAAACTTCTACGGAGCTACAGCAGGACAACCTGAAATATAAAAGTAAACAAGAAGGATGGGCAGAAGTGAAACGCTTTGCTACAATCAGGTAAGGGTTTTTAATTAGAACCAGAACAGGTTTGACTCTAGAGTAGGTTCGGAGTGGGTTTTCCGAACGCCCTAGAACACTGAAAATTATTAACACTGAAACCAGAACAAGAACAAAATAAATCGACTAGGAGTACCTAACCTTACGTTCTAAAAATAGTATTAACAATAATTACACTCAACTTGAGTCTCTAAAATAAAGAAGTAAAGAGTATTGTATAACACTTATAACAGCATTAATACCTGAAATGTAGATTAATAGACAAGCTTACTATATGCACTACCTTGGTAAATGACCATTTAACCCCAGTGTACAAGTATTTTCCTGTATTCAGTGCAGCATGTATTTATGGGATATTAGAAAGATAAAGATCATTAATTATTAAAGTTGAAGTGACAATACGTAACCTGAAGGGCGAATTGACCTGTTGTTTGGACGCCATATTGCGGTGCACATACATAGTTGCCAAAAGTAGAAGAAAAAAAATTACTAGCGTACTGTCAACATTGAAAACAAAAGTTACTGAATAAATTACATTTACTTTACGAATGTTTTTGAAAAGAAAAGCCAATTTCAGCTTGTATTGGGCAGAATTGGCAGAATAGAAATAATAAAATATCTACCTAGGTATTTACTTTCATCAATCCGAGAGAGAAAGCAAACAAACAAAAAGGATAGCGAGGATCAATCATTTAGTTCCTTTTGTTTTTAATGTTGACATCCCGCTAGTAATTTTTGTTTTTTTCTTTTGGCAACTATGTTCGCGCACCGCAATATGGCGTCCAAACAAAAGGTCAATTTAATATTATGGAATAATATAGGTAATATAGATAAATAATTAAAATTGAAGTAACAAAAACCTGAAGGGCGAATTTATTATTGTAGAAGACTGCGTTGCTGTGGTGGTTTATTCCAACAAGGGGTTGGTAAGGTTTGATAGGTTCCAGATATTGAGACAAAACAACACACTTATCAAACCTGAGTAGTCCCTGATCCCTTAAGGAAAACCTGAAGGATTGGATTGATATCTTCCAGTGTCTCCGATGGCCTGGGACTGGATCAGGGTCGCGACAAGAATCAACTGGCCCTGGGCACTGAAGTTCAGTAATTAGAAGGCACCAAGGCTTCCAATTGTCTAGCAGAGGCTGAAGACAGGAGGTACTACTTGAAATATACAGTACGCTTAACGTTTAACTGTTTACTCAAAGTTAAGGACTAAAGCGTGACGACTAAATAAGGCCTGAAACAAATTGACGATATGAGACTGGGCGTGGAGCGGTAGGTATGTCCAATACTTGAAATTTAACCATATAATTAACAGAAAACTATGCTTTTACATAGGAAATAGAGACACAGAGAAGACAAATAAGAAAAACCACTTATCAAAATACTTTGGCCTTTAGGAACAAACAATTGATCACATTGCTCTTTTTCGGCTCACAAAGAAATCCGCGCAAGGCGCTTTGGTGCTAAAATAACGGATTAGCCACCCTAGATCTATGAGCGAAAACTGGACAACTCAGAAATCGGCAAAATGTGCCTGAGGAATTTTCCCGAACACTTAATCGTGGAAAGTCCTCGACCTGAATGACCTTTGCTTGATCCTTCAATGTCCTTTAAAAAGGTTCTGTCAAAACTCCAAGGTGAAAGGTTCTGGGGAATTTTGATGGTAGTTGGGGCATGGGACTTATTTAAATTAAGTTAGTACCGGCCATTGACCTTATTTGGAGCGCTGTCAATCTAGTCAATCTAATCGGATCAGACAATCAGCTGTTCAAATGTAAATATTGTGATTTTATTTATTAATAAATTAATTGACTATTTATTTTAACCCTACTAAAAGGAAATTAATTCCATTATTCAACCTCTAACTCGATAATTCTGCGAAGAATGAAAAGTTTGAAGAAAAGTGTGGCCACAACTATTGGAAAGAAAACAGTGGCTCAGCGAAGGTATGCTGTTCAATGAGGCGAATACGCTTATTTCCTTTTATTTTGGCCCAGGAAAAATCATCCCGTAACAAAATCTACTACGTCCTTTGCTGTCATAAGCCATTTAACAGTACTGTTTTTTAAACTTGGAATTTCCAAAACGATCAGAGCCGACAACGGTAGACAATTAGCGAGCCAAGAATTTCAGAACTATTGCAAGGGAAACAATATTGATTTAATCCCACCTCACTGGCTACAGGCTAATGGAGAAGCCGAGAACGTGAATCGGTCATAATGCTGATAAAAGTATAAAGAAGAAATAGGAAAGTTCATGCTTATGTATAACGGTACCCTCCATGGGACAACGGGTAAATCCCCATCAGAATTGTTATTCAATAGAAATATCCGAGACAAAATACCCAGCATAAATGATATCATAGAGCCTTGATCAACAAGTGCGAGATGAGGATATGTTGAACAAATCAAAGGGAAAAGAAAGGGAAAATGACACGAGACCAGCAAAAGAGACTTCTGTCCAGATTGGGAACAGAGTAATGACACAGAGAACACGGTAAAACAACATAAATTAACATCAAAATTTGGGAAGACAGAGTACATAGTTACAAAACGAGACGGAAATGAGATCATATTGGAGCATCTACCACTAAACCCAGAAGCAGCTGATGTCATCGATTCTACTGACACGTCGGTCACCCATACTCAGCCAGGTCAAGGACTAGAATCAGTGGGGAACGGCAACCAGCCCACAAAAGAAGTACCGCCAGCAACCTTGGGGAAGATTGAACCATTAAGGCTTTAACGAAGGGACGGAATGTTGGAACCGATCAACGGACAGACTGACTAAGCCGTGACGTACTGGGTTGAGGAGACGCGCGACGATCATCATCAAGTTAGTTCCTGAAGTAGGATATGTGCAAGAAAAGTCTTTATATATGCTCAGTTTCTATATACAAATGTATGTACAAATGTTAATTTCACGAGTGTGAAAACCAAATTTCTGCATTGAAGATTAGAAAACACTTCAATTTATAGTCCATTTCAAGCGAAACACTAATCAGTATTTATTGTTCGACTGTTAGAGAAATTGTAACGGTCTTACTTGCTTAATCCGGTTCATGCAGATAAATCGAGGCGATTATTTATCCATTTATCACCACTATTCACAATGGCAGCTAGGAAATTTTCCACTGAGATCAAAAGAAAACACAATGATATACAAGCGTAGGAGAGAATTTTGCTCGTCCGAGGTGACTTGCAATAATTAGGGGTTTATTACATGAATTGCAATCAATAATATAGACCATGTCAGGCCTTGAGACACAGAGAGTAGTATTTCACTATAAATCGCGCGTACTAACGGGGGTTTTTGGGGGTTTTGCTCCTGGAAAGCATTCAGAGGGCGCGAGGGTGCGAACTCTTCGCTTATTCTATTAGTACTGAAGAATGTGCGTCGACTAGAGCTGCCAGGGAGCAGGTCGCAAAACACTAGAGGTTTTGTGCGGCGGCTGACCAATCACACGGAGAGAAAGTTTCACTGCCTTATAAGGTAATGAAGAAACCTGCAATTTTACCAGTTCAAAGGGTTGTTGTTGCCGGTTTTACAGGCATCTATTTTTAGAATATTATTTGTATGGTGAATAATAGATAGGAATATTATATTAAATTAGAAATAACAAAATTTAAACTTGTTGTGGGTTATTTCCGCAACAAACGTGTTTTTCATGATTTATAAATGTTGTAGGTGAGATGCATTTCTTTTGGGGAACTTCTCCCACCATCCGGGCGCGCCTATTGTATTTCTTCGGAGAAATCTTCTCACTTGTTGAATCAACTTTTGATTTAAAGGGTACTTTTCCCTCGGAAGAAACGTTTTCCTCCTCAACAAGTTGCCTTTTGGGAACTTTTTCCCATGAAGAAACTTTTTCTCCATCGCCACCTACATCATTGGAAACGTTTTCCATTGAAGAAATGTTATCTTCATTAACACGTTGTTCTTGGTAATCTTTTTCTTTTGAAGAAACGTTTTCTTCATGAACACATTGTTCTGCGGAATCTTTTCCTTTTGTAGAAACGTTTTCTTCATGAACACTTTGTTCTTGGGAGTCGTTTTCCTGTGAAGATACTTTTTCTTCATGAACAAGTTGTCCATAGGAAACATTCTCCCCATCCTTCAATTCGGAATCTTCTTTATCAGTGTCCAGTCTGATATTAAATGGCTTCATACGATCTACAGCATATATTCCTCTGTATTTCTTTCGACGTCTTCTTGAACCGGGCAAATCTTCAATCATATATCGATCGATCTCTGCCTAAATCAGCTGTCACAATGTGGGATCCATCATACTTTGCTAATAGCTTTCTCCTTTGCCCTTTATTTGATGCTATATTTAGTCTCATCATAACTTGTTGTCCAATTTCATATTTGCGGTTCTGCAATCTCTTTGCATCATATCTTTCTCACTAAAAGTGCTTCGTACTGAACTACCATCAGTGAATACTTTAAACTGGATTCCTAGGAGGTATACACAAAATTGCTGCATGCAATTAACGACGGCTAATGTCTCTAGCTCGTAGGAGTGGTAGTGCTGCTCTTCCTTGCTTGTTTGACGACTATAGTACAACACAGGTTTCAATTTGCCATCTTGTTGTTTCTGTAACAATATGCCTCCTAGTCCCCATTTCCATGCATCAGTGTGTAACTCCAGTCTCTGAATTAGGATCAGAAATAGCTAAAATTGGTCGAGTACACAGTATCTGTTTGAGCTGCCGCAGAGAATCTTCTTGATCTCGATTCCAACAAAATGTTTCAGTCTTTTCAGTAAGTGTGGTTGATGGTCTTGCGATATGAGCGAAATTCTTGACGAATTTCCGAAAATAACTGACAAGTCCTAAAAACTGCCTCACCTCATGGATATTTGTTGGAATTGAGAACTTCTCTACTGCAGTTATTTTCGATTTTCCTGGTCTCACACCCTCTGCCGATCTCTCATGTCCCAAATAATCAATGGTTCGTCGGGAAAAAAAAAACATTTAGTCATACGTAGGGTAAGTCTAGCGTTACTAAATACTTATAAGATTTCTGATAAAGCTCTATATCAGTCGTCGAAGTCAACTGCCGGAATTAAGATGTCATCCATGTAGGCCAGTGCTGTGTTTAATCTTAATGATCCAAGAACTAGGTTAATACTTCGCTGAAATATAGCTGGAGCATTTGCTAATCCAAATGGCATTCGTGTGTACTCATAATGCTCATCCGGTGTAATGAATGCTGTTTTTGCTCTAGACTCTGCAGCCATTGGTATTTGGTGGTAGCCTGATGACATATCAAGTGACGTAAAGCACTTGCTTTCTCTTAAACGTTCAAGATGATCATCTATTCTTGGTAGCGGAAAGACGTCCTTAACCGTTTTTGCATTCAACGCTCGGTAGTCCACGCACATACGCAACTCACCTGTTTTCTTTTCGACCAATAAAATAGAATTTGTCATCCTTTAGAACCAGTGCAACGTTTGCTTGATTAAATCAAGGAAGGATAAGGAAGAAGCGTGGACAGCTGACTCCAGTGGCGGAGCAAGTCGTTGCGTCTTACAGTTGTAGATCTAGCTTAATTGAAAAGTTAACGTCACTTTCAAACATTGACAAACAAAAATTGTATCTACACTTTATTCATTTATTTACATTTATTTATATCCATACGCTATGAAAACGGTGTAAACGAAGACTTGTGATGGTTGCAACAAAGTCTCAGCAAGTTGATACGCAACCATCATTCTTGATATTAGATAATGCCGAGAAGAAAAAAGGAACAAAGAAAATTCGAGTTAGATTACCAAAAGTAAGACCAACTGGTTTAGTCCAGTTAGTTGCAAATTGTTGTAAAATTCCATTTAGAATTTTGTTGATATTTCATATTAGATACACATAAATAATTAACATACACAATTTTTTATTAACACCTTTTACAGATCCATTAATGAAAGCAGATATTCAATTTCCATTACAGCAAAAATAACTATTTTCCACTCTCAAATACTGGTGTTTCGATATTGGAATATTTGGTTTATGGCCTTAGGCAAAATCCAATTTTGATAGCTATATTACTGGAAAACGGTGCATCGGAAAATGGCGATAATATTAATTTATGAAGTATTTTGTTTCAGCGAGGGCCAAACGAGACAAAATATGGACTGATTTCACCTACACCTAAGCATAATTTAAAGGTAAGAATGTGTATTGAATTATTTAGATTGGAAACAAATTTTTTGAATAGAAAATAAAGTTTCAGAGGACGTAAATATTTGTTAGGAGATTTTCATGACGATATGAAAAAGTTTTAAAAATAAATTGTCTGGAAAGTTTTCCAATTTTTCGCCAAACCTATAAAATGTTAAAAAATAAATAAAGCAACCGCGTATCATCATATTTTATCTTGTTACGATTATAACATGAAATGAACACGAATAAAATATATAGGAATGCTTTTGCGTCATATTTTTTGTTACCGTAACACATAGGTACTAACAAAAAAATATGCAAAAATGACATAAAAATGAAGTTATTTCTTTATATTGTAAGTGATTCAGAAAAGGCAGTAATAGAATTTGATATAGCAATACAGGGTGTATCAGGTATGAGTACAAATATTTAAACATGAGATAATATGGCCGATTTCAAGCTGAAACTGTCCTATTAACCATGGGTCAATTGTAAGTATTTTCGGAGTTATCGCAGAATTTAAATTTAGAAAAATCTTAACAACGTGACAACATCGTACAGATTTTATCTCTGCCGGGACATAAAATGTGAAGAAAACTGGTAAATTTGAAAGTTTTTTTTTTGCAAGGAGTTTATTTATTTTTATCTGTTTACGTTTTGGTTTGTTATTGGATTTCAAATAATGTAAATAATAACTTACATTTTTATAACTTTTCTAGTATAAATAAAAAATGTGCTGTTTTATTAAGTTGTGAATTGCACTCAATAACAATTTTCCACTAAACATTCAAGAGAAAAATTAAATAATACTTACTCAGCTACTTGCCAAGTCCAAATCATCATTATGAAAATATTAATTCTTGTTAAAAGGTTCTCAAAACGCTCAGATCAACACGCAGGTTTTGCACACTCACACTTCCCGTCTCACGCAATCTTTGTAAAATGGGCACAATGTTCTTTCATCAGGTGGGTGCTCTTGGGAAATCTTACCCTGTAAATTCTGGTGGCTAAATAGGCATTTTGCAACGATCTTGCCTGAACAAGTATCTGCATATATGTTTATAAATTATAAACATTTTATTTTCGAAAAAGAATGAACTACGCGCATTTCCAATACTTCAACTAACTGACATAAGACAAATCAAGTGTGTGTGTTGTGCTATGTTGCCAGATGTTTAGATACCGATAAACGAATGACATTTTCATGTTTTTTTTTTTCAAATTTCATTATTGTTGTTGACTAAAAATGCATAATTACTTAATAAATAAACCTTTTTCTTAAAAATGGTTGAGTTTGGACCCCATGTAGTACAAACTTTTTTGTCCAAAATGGGCCATATTCTCAAGTGTTAAAATTTTTGTAGTCAAACCTGATACTGTATAGTAATTTTAAGTAACTTGCAGGTCTAATTTCAATTAAAATTTAAATATGCTCTTTTCCTGAAACAACTTCATTAAGTAATTTTCTTTATAAAACATCCCCTATTAAATAGAATGAGTCTCATTTCTGAAGGATCTTAAACGCGAATTGGAACAAAACAAAGGACTATACCGCAACTTTTATAACAAACTCAACAAGAAACGAGAATTCTAATTAGGTCTGTCTTACAAAACAAGCAAGAATAACAAGATAAATCTATCAACCCAAAAAATACTTTAATAGCAAAATTCTATTTCAGCTACTTCTCGTATTTGTTCATCCGGATCCAGTATGCGACGCTTTCTCCAAAGCGGCAGACAAATTGGGTTTCGAGATAACGATAAGCAGTACCAACCCTGGAGCTTTGGAAGAGTACAATTCGAAGTTCCACGACTTGGTTTTGGTCGATACTCGGGTGAAACATTTCGACAACGATCTACTATGTCGGTAAGATTCTTTTTGGAGTCCAAATATCTAATCGATTTCTCCTCAACAATCGCCTGGATCTTCATTTTGAGTTCGAAATCATTTTCTTCATATCCTTGGCTTGCATATCCATCATCTCCATGGACATATTTCATGGACTTCTTCTTATACTTGTCATCTATTTAAAATATTGAAATTTTAAATAATGAATAATTAAATAAGTCTTGACATCGCGCAGTTCCTGAACCTGAAAATTAACCCATAAAATAGGTAACGGAAAAATATTGAAAGCAAGGCTAAAGTACACACAACTGGTAGATTTATGTCCACACCTGCAACATTTGTAGCATTGTATCGTGTCTTCTTTCAAAGAACAATGGTTCCAATTTAACGATATCGTTTTATACTTGGTGTATTTCGCTAAGAGGCGTTTAACATCATCCGGGTAACGGTATTTGTATATTATGACTGCCTATATAAATTTCCAGAATTTTTGCTCTTTTCCAGCCAACGTTGAATATTTCCCATGGCAAAATCGAAAGCAGATCTCACTGTCAAAGACATAGCGAGGGCGGTTTATTCCCAATTTCCAGTTTGCAATATTTATTCCGTACAAATCTCAAGTAGCTCCAAAAACGAAATTAACTTTAAGTCAGTAGAATCCTGAGAGAGCATCGAGAAATATAAAGTCCTAGGGGAGCTCAAGGATCTATCCGCATTCCTTTCGCTTGATAAACCAATTTGCTGCGAAAAATAAAGAATAGAAAAATGAAGTAAGACGGAAACAATAACAGAGCATGTGGGATTTTCTATTTTACGAAGCAAAATCAATTTTATATTATCGGGACAGAGACATGGGCGGTTAATGAAAGTCTATAGATTCGCTAAACGGATTTAGACCAACGAGACTTTTTTAATATCCCTCATTTCCGCCCTCGGGTATATCAGTTTAAGCTTCCGGACCAGTTAGACAGGAACTTTTAGGGGCTGTGATTTCTCTCAGTGAAACTTACCAACTAGGGAGTCTGTTTGTAGGAACGCGAATGTCGTGAATGAATTAGGGGAGGACTAAGATACATTTTGCTTTTCAGCATTCTAAAAGAATAGGAGACACTTATTTCCTCCAAAGTAATTCAACAAGAAACGTTAGAAAAATTAATATAATTCCTGTCTTTCGAATCTAATATTTGAAAAATCTCCTTAGACTGTTTGCATACATAATCATATTCCAACCACGTTTAACTTTTCTCATTTCCCGTGACAAATATTAAAAAATCTTCTCTATGATAATATTAGGACGAGGAAGCCTTTGAATATTAAATACAAATAATTTGAAATCCTAATTTTTCCTATCCCGCAAAGCAAAATTCAAATCTTGCCGAAACATTTTTCGCTGTTGCTGGATGTCCGAAAAAAAAATTCACGACAAACTCAATTAAAGTGCTAATTTTACATGCTGTTTGACGTACATTTGAATTTGGAAAAAAAAAATGGAAAGTAAATTGAATAAATATGTATTGTTTCGATGGACTTTTTTTATTACGTGAGAAGATTAATGGGTGACATTATTTGCCATACATAGAGCGATTTTGTTTTTGTCCATTTCTTGTTTTATTTTTAGTTTTTCTGCGCAAGGTCTTGAACATTTTACGCCTTTATCCTCCTCCATCATTACTTTGTTGTCGTCAGATAGAGGGGGATATCTGAAAGTGGGCCCCTGAAACTTTGGAGGTCTTTTTTGGATTTGGGAGTTTGAAAGTTCTGTACTGCTAGTATGTGATTTTCTTGATGTATAATGTGGCTACCCGAAATATGGTGACCCAAGTAGTCGAGTTCCGATGTAGCAAATTGACACTTATCTGGAGAAATTTTTAAATTATGTATTCTTAGCCTCTCAAAAACTAATTGTATAGGTGATTAAGATGACTTTTTATGTCAGAGGAGTAGATACTTTGAGCAACCCGCATAGAGAACTTCATTAGTCATTAAGCGCTGAAACGTTCCAGGCGTATTTTCCAGGCCAAAAGGCATCACTGTAGAGTGATAAAGTGCACCATCAGGAGTGGAAAATGCAGTATATTGCTTGGAAGAGTCCTCGAGGGGAACCTGCTAATAACCTGATTTTAGATCAAGCGCAGAGAAGATGGTGCAACATCTGAGATCTTTCAAGGTATCTGGAATTTTTGGCAAGATTGACGGCTCATCTAAACTAATGCTATCTATTAATCTTAAATCCACCAAGAAACGCGGTTTTTTGTCTTTTTTTCTTACTATGACAACGGGCAAACTGTGGGCTGAAGAAGAAGGTTCAATAACCCCAGCAGAGAGCATTTCATCTATTTAATTATACATGATTTCTTTGACCTCAGGGCTCATGGAATAGGGCCCATGGATAATCCGTTTATTTAGTTCTGAAAGGACAATTTTGTGTTTTTTGGTAATTGTAGTCGGTTGGTAAAGGCCATAAAAAAATGTCTGAATATTCTTCAATAAGATTAAAAAGTTCTTGATGATTTTGTTCATTTGAGGGCAAAGATTTTAAAAAATCCTTATCAACTGGTAATATGTTTAATGGGGTATGCCAATAAATTGTTTCTTGATTTTTGAAAAAATTAAATTCAGATATTTTTGGTGGACACAGTTCATTTAAGTTGTCAGATTCGCGGTGTTGAATAGTCTATATACCTAGTTTGTGTGATCGGCCGGGCGGGGTGGAAAACGACGACCCTGGCCGGCCCCTTCCCGGTTTCCCGAGCGATTATAAGAGTTGTTGGCACAATCTTTGTGATAATGCCATTCTTGGCAGTACTTACAAGAAGATGGTCGTCCCCTTTGGTATTTATCTTGTCTAGCAGCCACGCCAGGACCACTGCAATATCCCGGATTGGCAGAGGTAAAATTATCAACTCCTCCAGAAGCGCTAGACAAATTGATAAGTTGTTTTTTTAAAGAATTAACTTCCAAAATCAGATCTTTTTCGATGGAGGAGGCTGTGTTTATAAGTTCCTCACAAGTCATGGCTAGACCGAACCTTCTCAGTCTGGACCTAATCTCTGGTCGCAATAGTTCCATAATAACAGCAGCCCTAATCTGATCTGGTTTAGCAGGGTCAAGTCGAGCAAAGAGAGCCAATTATTTAGCTATCAACACACTCGAGGCTTCAACATTGGTCAAACCATGGTTTGGCCTCTCCTCGTTACAACGAGACATCAATAATCAATACTGACCCTTTCAGCATCATCAGTCAAGTTGGTATCCAAAAAATATTTTTTCCTACGAGCGTGCGCAAAGTAGTACTTTTCCGCACGCATTACAGTTCTCAAAGTTTCACTTTTCCGCACTCAGTGCGGATACGGGCCTTATCCGCACTGAGTGCCGAAAAGTAAAAATAATTGTCAAGCAACAATCAGTGCACCTGTCGACTTTGACACATGATGACAAATTTGTTCTCTGTTTCTATATCAGCCAACATCTATACAAACACTGAATATAATTAACTTTGACACATTGTCAGATTTGTGTTCCCATTTACATGCAAGAATCTACAAACTTCTTTTGCATCAAATTTAAACGCTTTAAGATGAACAGCTCTGACGAGGATTTCAATTTTCTGTTTTTCTGTTATGTATTTTTTTGATGAATGAATAGGTTTGCTTCAAGTTAATTGAAAATAATTGCACAAATTATCGTTTTTTTTTTTAAATTTTTGTTGTTACCTACCTGATATGAAGCTCGTAGGAAAAATTTTGTTCCTAACACGTGCGCAAAGTGTCTTTTCCGCACGCAAACACGTATCCGAACTCCGCTTCGCGTCGTTCGTATAACTGTGTTTGCGTGCGGAAAAGTAACACTTTGCGCACTTGTTAGGAAAATAACTATTTCCTACTACCGTGCGTAAAGTACTCACTTTACGCACTATTCAGAAGATGTAAAATTTCACTTCACGCACTAGTGCGTAAAGTAATTCACCTCACACACTAGTGCGTAAAGTAATGTCAATGACAGATGTCAACACTGTCAATTTGGCATTTTTCTGGTAAATTACTTCACGCACTAGTACGTAAAGTGAAAATTCTTCAAGCACTAGTGCGTAAAGTATTTGTCCAAATTTATTTTTTTACACATATTTGATTGGTAGTAGAAAAAAATTTGTATGCATTACGTGCGTAAAGTACCTTTTTTCCCTCATGTGATTGTCGCACTCGCCTTCGGCTCGTGCTTCAAAATTCACATTCGTGAAAAAAGGTTCACTTTACACACTTGTTGCATAAATAACTATTCTAGGGTTTGTTCATACAAATAAGTTAGGGTTATCATGTTAATAGCCACTAAAAACTATGGTTGATTTTTTATTTGGTTTACTGTAGTGTTCATTTAAATTTTCAAGCGTTTGAGTGAATACATTGGTTATATTTAATAGGGCCGCTGTTTCTATTATTCTTGAAGAGTTGACTGAATTAGAATTATTGGAAATTAAATTGGGAACAATATTTGGAATATTTGTATTTATTGAAGAAATACTTGACGAAATAGGGTCAGTTAAAATATTGGGAGCAATGGGAGCATTCTGGTCAGATGGTACCAAGCATAGTTGATCGATAGAAACAAGGTTGTTAGAATTATTAGTAATATTTGAGCCCAGTTCTGCGCCTACAAATGGATTACTATTTAGAGAAATATTAGCGAAATCTGAATTTAGAGCATTACCTACAAATTCATTATAATCGAGAGGGTATCTGAGGTCATTAGAAGCGGAATCGGCTTTGACTAGAGTGTTTTCGTGCCACCATATTATCCCTTGCATTTTTTTCGTAAACATTTTGAATCCAAGAAATAAAGCAAATATTGTGTATCTTAGTTTAAATTTAAAAAAAAAACACAATTAAAGAAATACTAGCTCAAGCGAGAGCTCAAGTAATTACACTTCTCATGTTAATCCAAGAGAGAAAAACAATGGTACCCACATTGAGCTTGGTACACATGTAAATTGTTCATTGTAAATAATACTTGATGAATATTTACAAAATTTTTAAGACTTCGACAGAAAAAATCGGTTGAAAACTAAGTGAAATATTGATTTTTTTGTAATATCGAATTTCAATTTTTTATATTGACAGCAAAATCTAGGATATGCTATTTCAGCTAGATTTTTTTTTCTATTCGACACATTTCTTCTATTTCGGGCTTGTTCGAAAGATAAATGGATAGGATAAGGATTCGAAATGAAGATTTTGACTATTGAGAAAAAATTAAAGATTTTCCAGTTCCTTAAACATAGCCAATTTTAAAAAAGTTAACAATAAGTTTTCTAACAATACGACTAATATTTTTATTTATAAATTTTATAAAATAAAGTAAACCAATTTAAGTGACGTGGCAAGAGGCAATATACCCTCCGTGGACCTCAACAACCCATGCTAAACGTCTATGCCAAGAATCGATAGAATTGGCGATGTTACGTTGTTCCAGCAGTTCTCCCCAACACTCAATGATTCGGTTGCGCAGCTCTTCTAAATTATTGAACGTAGCCCCATTTCCGTTGACTTTTTCTTCCAAGTCCCCCTATAAAAAGTAATCGCAGGGATTCAAATCTGGGCTATAAGGCGGCCAGCGGCCAGTCAACGGGCTCTATAAAATTCGCAACTTGCTCTCTTAGATAGTTGATAGTAAAGAATACCTAATTAAAAGTGATTTAATGCTGAAGCATGTTGAACGGGACTACACATTTAAACTGTCCTACTCCAAGCTCGGAAAGCGGTTAAAGGAAGAGAAAAATTCAGCAGTTATTTAATGGTACCTATCTGCAGCAATTTCTCGAAGCCACAAAGCACAACTAATTGTTATCGACCAAGGAGTTCGCTTGGATTCACGCAAGTATTGTCAGCTTGTGTTCGTCATATGCTATCCGAAATCAAGGTTGTTTGAGAGAGGTAGGTTGCCTGATTACTTTTATGACGTCATATGTATGCCTGAACATAATGCAATCTCCATAAGGCACTCTAGATGCGTCATCAAGTTACCCATTACCAGACAACCTGTTAACAAATATTGTGTATCTTAGTTTAAATTTAAAAAAAAAACACAATTAAAGAAATACTAGCTCAAGCGAGAGCTCAAATTACAGTAATTACACTTCTCATGTTAATCCAAGAGAGAAAAACAATGGTACCCACATTGAGCTTGGTACACATGTAAATTGTTCATTGTAAATAATACTTGATGAATATTTACAAAATATTAGCGAAATGTTGTGATTTACAGCCACAAAAGTCATTAAATATAAAAATTGTTGGCTTAATTGGTACCTACCTTGACTTTTTATTTTTTCCACTTTTTCTTGGTCCTAGGGTCTCACTCAGTCTCAGGATTCCAAAAAAAATTAATCCTCTTTCTTGTCCATACTATCTCCCACGTCCAGCATTCGATGTGAGCCGCACTTTGGGCGCCATGTCGTCAGATAAAGGGGAGTATCTGAAGTTAAAAAAAAAAAAAAAAAATCCTAAACTTTGACATCTGTTTCTCAGAAATCACGCATTTCCGGACACAGGTTTATGGGAACTTTTTTTCTTAAAATATAAATGGGTAATAAACTTTGCAATGAGGTTAGTTACAAGTATACAGGGTTTGTCACGAAAGTATGGCAAAGCAAAGTTAATTTTTTTTAAATGGAACACTCCGTATATTATTGACTTATCGGATTAGCCTTTCAAGCCTGATTCCAAATATACTAGGTTTTTTAGGTTTATTCTTCATAGTCCAGCCTCTGAAAATCGAATTTTGAAGAGATAATATGGACTATTTCACTAGAGTGTATTACACCGGTTATACAACTCACTGTACATTATTCTCATATGACACGAGAGGCTTAACAAGTGATAAGCCTTTCAGGATTATCGCGCTTGGTGGAAATATTGTTCATTTGCCAATAAAAATTAATAAAGTATTGAAGTTTAGTTCGTTGTATAACCTTTTGAATATCACTCGATGTTTCAGGATTACCTAATACTTTTACCTGACACTCAACGCGTTACCAGCAACACCACTCCTCCTTCGGAGTCGTGGTATTGCTGCGTAACGCGTTTCGTGACAGGTAAAAGTATTATCCGGTAATCCTGAAACCTCTTGTGGTATTACATTCGACAATAAATTCAGTATTCACCTGACAATATTGCTGCCTGGACAATACCAACAGCATGGTATTTCAGCGACCATTTTTTGACATTGTCAAACTGATATTTTTAATTTGAAGTTTTTATTCATATTTTTTGCATTCTATTTATTTTCAAATTTTCAAAATCTTACGTGAAATAGTCATGACGAATACCACTCGAGAAAAAATTGTGTACGCAAAATTGTTCTCAAGGTTTTATTCAAGTTTGTTGCTTTTCAGCAATTTCGCTTATGACAAAAATGTCATAAGCGGCTCGTGATTTTGTCAAAAATCTCATTCGCGAAATTGCCAAGCAACAAACTTTCATACCTTTCGAAAATTTTGCCGACAACATTTTTTCTCTTGTGATATTATATATGACTATTTCACTAGAGTGTTTTACACTGGCAAAATGTCATAGGAACGGCCGGTTTCCTACTGACAAAACTCCTACCTGGACAAAACCAATATGATGGTTTTTCAGCGACAAAATTTTGTGTGGTTAGAGTAAAAAACTAGTGAGTTTGACAAATGTCACCTAGAGAAAATTAATTTTTCCGAATTTGAATTTACTTTTTCCGAATTTAAATTTACTGTCTCCGAAATTAACTTCACTTTTTCTTAAATTAATTAGACTTTTTCCGAAAATGACTTTACGTTTTCCTAAATAAAAGTTACTTTTTCTGAAATTGAGGTTGAAATGGTGTAGTATTTTTGGAATCAGGTTTGAAAGAATAATCCAATGGATCAATAATATACGGGGTGTTCCATTTAAAAAAGTAAACTTTGCTTTGCCATACTTTTGTGACACACCCTGTATACTTGTTACTAACTTCATTGAAAACTTTCTGATATTACCTAAAACTTTCAGACTTGACATTTCTTAGTATCTTTCCAAACAGGTAAGATAGGTGTGGGTGCA